AAAAAACAAAAGAAAAAGAAACTGTCCCGTTGTGACGGATGGTGAGAGAGATGCTTCCTTTTGACTACATTGACTTAATTGACGCCGTTGGAAGAATCAGGCTCACCCGACATCCGCTCCACCGAAGGCTCCGATTCACCGGGCCCCAATTTTTAAAAGAATCAAAGAAGGGCACCCCGTCAGTGGGTCACTGTCCACCGGTTTATCCGGTCACCAAACCCTCCAATTCTCACCTACCTTCTCCGCTCTCTCCCGGTCACCCTCCCAACCTTGGAAAAAAATTTAAATTGAACTCACCCTCCCTCCTAAGTCCTAACCCTCCTTTTAATTTCTTGGCAAATCTTCCATTTTAACCTTTTTCTTTCTAGACTTCCTTCAATGGAAATTAACTTTCTCTCCTTTTCTTCTTCTTCTTGCATTCTCTCCTGTTATCTCCGTACAGTTTGGTGCAGTTACCATCTCAAAATCTCAGAACAAGCAAGCTGTGCTTTTCTTATTTCTTATTTTCCCCCAATTTTTTAAATGTTTTTGTTTTTTGTTTTGAATTTAGTTTAAGATTTGTTTAATTGAATTCTTATATGATTCTTGCAAAGTTGAACGGTTGCTTGACCAGTTCTTTCCCTTTTTTTTTTTGGTTTTAAATATGTTTGGTTGGCGAGAAAATATGGGAAAGTCAAAGAAATTTGAATGTCAATTAGCTTTTTTCTTGAACAGCTGTGCAATGCAATGTTAGTATGACTCAGCCTGATATGGAATTCATTTATTAATTTTAATAACCATTGAGATTCTCGTTTGAAAGTTTCATTATTTCTTTTTCTTACTAATCACATTGATTTTCTTGTCCATTAAATTTTCATAATTATACCCTCAATTTCTAGTAGTTATATTTTCAACAATTACCTCTTTTTAGAATATAAATTTAAATTTTTTTTCTTAGAATATAAATTTAAATTTTTTTTCTTTCTTCTTGGGTAAGCCCTGTAAATTCGAGTCTTGATTTATTGCTAAAAATGTGGAATTATAAAGCATTTTCAAAATGAGATTGTTTTTAGGTTAGTCCAAAGCTTTACTTATTAGCAAATCAAAATTTCCGGAAAAATTGATTTGTCCTTTTTTTCTAATTTAGTCCTTCTTTTCCTATATATATATCCTAGTTCCTAATCTCCATTGATAGTTTCTCTGATAATTCTCTTCGAAATCCAGGTTAGTGAATGATATTTTCTTTTCTTTGTTTCTGTTTCATAATAACTTGAAGTTGTTCTTTTTTTTTGGGAGGGGGGGGGGGGGGGGGGGGGTGTGGGCTGTTTTATGTTTTGTTTTATCTTAATTTATTCCTTTTGCAGTTGCATTGACGCCGGAGAACTGTTATTTGGGAATTGTATATGATTTGAAATAGTATTCAGTGCTATTTGCTTGTTCTTGTTGGTTGGTGTTTTGATTTTTTGATGGATTTTGTTATTCTCAGTTTCTGATGGACTGGATTGAAGCATGTGTGGCGGTCTAGATCAGTTAAATATGAAGACTACTGCTCCATCCTCGTCTCTGGAAACCAAAACAATGGATTGTCTAACTGGAGCGGTGGGTAGTGAATGTTCGTTCTCTGTCTTGCTTGAGTTTGCTGCTGATAATGATGTTGAGGGATTTCAGAGATCTATAAGGGACATTTCTTTGGTTGGTGAGGTTGGACTTTGGTATGGTCGACGTAAGTGTGCGAAACAAATAGTGGTGGAGCGTAGAACTCCGTTAATGATTGCTGCTAAATATGGTAGTGTTGATGTTGTGAAGTTCCTTCTTTCTTTACCAGAGGTAGAAGTGAATCGCTCGTGTGGCCCAGATAAGAGCACTGCTCTTCACTGTGCTGCTTCTGGTGGATCTATTAGAGCTGTTGAGGTGGTCAAGTTGCTTTTACTTGCTGGTGCTGATCCTTGTCTTACAGATGCCAATGGACATCGCCCCTTCGATGTTATTGTTTCTCCTTGGAATATGCCCCAGATGAAAGTAGCCCTTGAAGAGCTCTTAAATAATGGCGCTCCTGTTTGTCTTGAGAATTCTCATGAGTTGACTGTTAGTTTGAGATCTAGTTCATTGTCACTCTCAACTTCTCTGGATAGTGGTTCCTCATCCCTTGTATCAAATGCAAAGATATCTTTAGTTACATGTAAGCCTGCTGATAACAATATTTCTTCTGCTCCAGATAGGAAGGAGTATCCTGTTGATCCATCTATTCCTGATATTAAGAGCAGCATTTACGGCACTGATGAGTTTCGCATGTTCTCGTTTAAGATCCGGCCTTGTTCCCGAGCTTATTCCCATGATTGGACAGAGTGTCCTTTTGTTCATCCAGGTGAAAATGCTCGAAGAAGAGACCCAAGAAAGTTTCATTATAGTGGCGTGCCATGTCCTGATTTTCGTAAAGGGACCTGTAAGCGTGGAGATTTATGTGAATATGCTCATGGTATTTTTGAATCCTGGCTGCACCCTGCCCAGTACAGAACTCGGCTCTGCAAAGATGGGACAACTTGCAATCGTCGTGTCTGCTTCTTTGCCCATAGACCTGAGGAACTGCGACCACTTTATGTGTCCTCTGGAATGTGTATTCAGTCTCCTCAATCTGCTGCCTCTGCTGTGACTACAATGGATAGGGCTGCAGCCATGAACCTTTTGCCTGGTTCTCCCTCAGCGTTGTGTGCAATGTCAATGTCTCCATTTTCTCCAGCCATGTCACCTTCTGCAGATGGTATTTGTCAGTCACCCATAGGTTGGCCTCAACAACATGTTCCAACTTTGCATCTGCCTGGCAGCAATATTCAAACAAGCCGTTTGAAGTCTTCCTTCAATGCAAGAGACATGCCTGCCATGGAGCTTAATATGTCTCCGAATTTTGATTTGCATCAGCAACAGCATCTTAATAGTTTGTCCTGTCTTTCACAACCACACTTGGTTACTAAGTCTGCAAATTTAGACGGGCTTTTTTTGACTGAGTTCTGTTCTCCTCAATATCCTGATCAAGTGACTGCTATGCCTATGTTATCTTCTGCGCATAAATCTATGCTTCTGAATCAGCTACACCAACAGCAAAGGGTGTTATCTCCAATCAAAGCAAACATCTTCTCTCCAAAGAATGATCACCCTCTTTTGCAGTCTGCATTTGATGCTTCCTTGTCAGAAAGATTTTCACCTTGGCACTTGGAGCCTTTATCCCCATTGAACTCCCGGCTATCTGCTCATACTAATCTTGAGAAGCAGTTTCATGGCCTAAGCTCGCAGGAACTTGAATATAAGCTCTCAAATGATTTCGAATCAAAAGGTATTGTTGGTTCCCCTGTAAATTCTTGGTCAAAATGGGAGACCCCCAATGATAAAGTAGATTGGTCAGTTCAAGAAGATGAATTAGGTCAGTTTCGTAAATCATGTTCTCTTGGACATCATGATATGGAACCTGCAGTTTCATGTGTTCAATCACTGGTGAAGGAATCGCCATCGGCTATGGCCACAACTGCAGCCTCAAGCCAGACGCTATCTGTTGAGGGCTCTAACTCTCTTAGTGAACTCGGTGATCATGCAACTTTTGGAGCACGGCATGAGCTCTTGAAGCTTGATAAGATTATGGCTTAGTGAAATGTTTTTGCCAAGCTGGTTTATTAAAACTGAATTGTTTATTATTTGGTTGGTTGGTGATATGGGAATTAACAAGATAGAGGAAGACAATGTACAGAGAAAGGAAGAGGTATTATCCCTATTTATTTATTGTCATCACAGAACAAGTCAAAGAAGGGGTGAGAATACCAGCCCTGGGTCAGGAAATTTCCTCACTGCAATTTTCCTTTAAATTCTTTGTTTGTAGAGTAAGTTATATGTTCCATTGAGACGTTGCCATCCTATTTTTTTTTTTATTATTTGAACTTATTGTTTCTGCATATGAATTTGCAATGGAATTCAACAGTTTTAAGATTTCTTTTTCAATAGTATGTTGTCAATTTGTTGGGTCCTTTTCCCATCTTTCCCTCTTTTTCTCTTTGCTTTGGCTTGTTTCATCCTCCATTTCTGTTAAAAGCTTGGGGAATGGATGATGAGTTGGATCTCAATCTTTTGGTTGGGGATCATTGATGGGAAGGTGGAAAGTAAATTTGTTTAGAATGACTTCAATCTTTAACGAGAGATTGTTTGTGGGGATGAGGAATTTAGTATTCTTAGGCAGAAAGATGTGATGTAAAATATTCATTAAAGAAAAGAGATATGAGATAGGAACCCTACTTTTCAGACAATGGGGCTTTAAGGTACCATGTAGGGTTCAGATAAGACGTCTAGTGTCTACCCATTGACATCATTCTAGGCCAACTTGCTCAATAATGAAAGGATTGATCTTAATGGTTTGCCTAACATTGTTCATTTTTTAGGCTTTGTCCTTGATTGAGTGAAAGGATCAGGTTTTAACAAGAACTGCAAGAAAAGGGTTAGACTGGGGCTTAGAAGTGAATCATAATATTCAATTGGGACCTTTCTGCTAGAAAAGGGTGAGACTGGGGCTTAGAAGTGAATCATAATATTCTATTGGGACCTTGCTTTTTGATAACTGAATTTTCATTACTGTCTTTTCTAGGTTTTTTTTTTTGAATTACAAAAAAAAAGAGATTTTTTTCAATTTTTTAAATATCATTAAGTTGGGTTCATGTTAGAATTTGGAATTTTAATTGTCGAATATATTCTTTTTAGTAACATGATCAATTTTAGTTGACATTTCAAAATAATATGCTTACAATCATAGTTATAAATATCGGACAATACATTATAAAGTTTCGATACACACCACACATATTTCAATGAGTTTTAGGACAATACTGTTACACCTGCTATTCTTTGGCTCTTGATTGTTCTTAACTAATTTTTGGATCTAGCAGCATCGCTTAATGTGAATGTTGAAGGCATTCCCTCTTCCATTATTGCATGCTGAAAGATTGTTTTGAAGTTTAGTTGAGGAAGCAGTGAAGTGCTTCCCATAGGCAGATCTTTTCCCAATTATATCAATTTTGGGGGCTGGCCGGTGGGGATAGGACGGCGTGGTAGGACCATACTCATAACTTTTATGATTCATATTAAATACTTAAGACAAAAAATAAAGACTAAATTTTGGCCTAGAAACAAGCCCTTTAAATTTGATGGGACTTGATCAAACTATTTGGATTAGTGAATTTTCTGACTCTGATGCTGATTATATATTTTCACAATCTAATCCTCTTGGCTTTGATTTGGATGCAAGGGCATTCCAGAGAAGTACACATAAAAGCTACAGAAAAGCAGAATGGATTCGGAAAATTGGTCAGCATCAAGAAATATTTCCATTTTAAAAGAACCTGCAGAGCAATAATCTGGATAAAGAAAGTGCAGCTGGATAGAAAAAGGAACAAGTCAAGACATTTGAATAAAACATATACTTCCATTAATGTGTATAATGAATAAGCAAGTTCACCCAGGATTTATTCATGATGTTCTTAGTTAACTAGTGAAGTAATAAAGAATATACAGAACATAAGACTAACACAAGGCTTGAGGTCTTGCATTGGTCAGTGGTTACTTCCAGAAGGTGAACATAATCTTATAATAAAGGAAGTTTGATGTGCTTAGCATTGCCAAATCGTTGTACCCTCCTGGATTATGCATGGCCTCTATCTGCAAATGCCCATGGTTAATGTGTAACAATCTTCCCAAAATTTTAGGCTCCATAATCTTGTAATTTTTCCTTCTTTTGATAGAAGCATGTATGACATTAGAAATAACCATGCTGAGCTGCCGTATATATGACCCCTTTCGGCCAATGTTTATGGTTAAATGTGAAATGCTCTTTCCAAGAATCCATAGACTTCATAATCTTGCAAGAATTTTCATTCATTTGATGGAAGCATAAAAGTTACAGATCAAAACTTTTTATCTCAGTGTTAGTCAAGCTTCAATAATATCCACACCTAGGCAGGGAATGGGGTCATCATCCCTTAAAACTTTCTGCAACCGTAAGGATTTAGTTCATGATTCAACACCATGCTTCATCCATCAGATGATGATTGCGTGCACCCATCAGAAAGTCACTTTCAAGGCCACAATTCGCTTCTCTTTAAATGTACTCCTCATCAACGTGCAATATCCAATGAAGATCAGGAACATATCCTATATCTTTCATTGAGTGCAACAAGGAATTCAAATTTGCATTGATTTTGTCAGCCATTGGGTGTGATCTATCTCCAGCAGCAAAAGAGTGAATCTGGCTTCTAACAATGATCCAACTCATTCCAGGAGGCTTTCTTAGGCCCTTCGCTCTGAGACATGTTCGAATTTGTCTGACGTCTGACCAGAGACCTGCTGCAGCATATGTATTACAAAGCAAGACATAATTCCCTGGGTTCATTGGGTCCAATTCAACAATTTTTTCAAAAATGGCCTTAGCTTCTTTAGCGTAACAATGATCCCTATAAGCACTAAGCAGAGTTCTCCAGACCGAAGCATCTGGTTTGATGGGCATCGATTCAATGAACCCTCTAGCTTCGTCTAAGCAGCCTGCACGACCAAGCAAGTCGACTACACATCCATAGTGAGCAAGCTGAGGGGTGATGTGAAAATCCTGAACCATGGAATCAAAGAGCCGCAGTCCTTCCTCTATCATACCAGAATGGCTGCAAGCTGATAGAATAGATATGAAAGTTACTTCATTTGGATAGTAACCATCCTCTAGCATTTGTGAGAAGGCAAGAATAGCATCAGAACCCCGACCATGCATTCCATAACCAGCTATGATGGCATTCCATGAGATAATATTTCTCCTTGGTAAGGTTTTGAAGATTCTTTCAGCACTTTGCATGCTACCACATCTTGCATACATTGTTATAAAAGCATTTCCAAGAGACAAATTGTGACCTAAAGACGATTCCCGCCGTAACATATAAGCATGCAAACATTGACCTTGAGGCAGATGAGCAAGATGGGTGCATGATGAGAGAATATTTATTATTGTAACTGAATTGGGCTCCACTTCAGAAATCATGCGGCTAAAAACTAGAAAAGCATCATGAGCAAGGTTTTTTTTAACATAGGTGGCAATCAAAGCATTCCATGAGATCAAATCTCTTCCCGGACAGCTCTCAAAAAGATTCCTAGCCGTTGTTTCATCACCGCAGTTAATATACATATCAGTTAGTGCAGTGTTCAAGGATGCATTTACTTCTATCCCCTGCTTTATCACAAAACCATGAAGTGATCTCCCAACATTAAGGCAAGTTTCATCTTTGCAAGCAGCAAGGATTGAAATTATTGTGTAAGAGTTAGGTTCAACATCAAATTCCCGCATTAAACCAAAGACTTCCCCTGCCTCACTTCCCAATTTGTTACGGGCCAGAGTTAAAATCACTGTGTTAAATGAGATTACATCTACATTACTCATCTCACTAAAAACCTTTTGGACAGAATCTATACAATTCTGTTGAGCATACATATTTAACATCGCATTCCCTAGATTAACATCCATCCTCATACCACTCTTGCTTGCATAAGCATGTAAACTTTTACCCTTTCTCAAACCATCAGCTGATTCAGCACATAAAGAAAACATAATAACAATAGTTCTTTCATCTTCTTTGTTGCCTTCGGTTCGCATTTGAACAAACAAACTAGTGGCTTCCTCATTACAGCTGTTTTCAAAAAATGCAGATATCATAGAATTCCAAAGCGCAACATCACGTCTGGGGGTGACATAAAATAATTTACAAGCTGATTTCAAACTTCCAATATCTGCATACATATTTAGTAATGCATTAATTATGAACAAGTCATTGCTATAACTACACTTAATGGCCATTTGGTGAATTTGACTACCTAATTCAAGAGATCCAAATTCCGCACAGGCCTGAATAAGAGCCAACATTGTAACAGAATCAAATTCAACTCCATCTATGAGCATTTTCTCAAAAAGTTTCAAAGCTTTCAAGGATTCTCCAATATGAAAACACCCCTTAATCATAGCATTCCAGCAAACAGTATTCCTAACAGCCATCAAATCAAACACAGTCTGCGAAGCCCTGGCATTAAAACTCAAATAAAACCCAATCAAAGCAGTACCAACATGAGAATCCAAATCAAACAATCCATTCCTCAAACAATAACCTTGGATCTCCTTTCCTAACCTCACTTCTGCAACCTCCTGACATGCTAAAAGCATGGCTACCAAAGTCCGCGAATTCGGCCTAAAACCCTCTCTTTGCATCCTCATCACCAAAAAAACCACTTCCTCAAATTCCCCACACCCGGCATACCCTGATATCATCGCATTCCACGAAACCAAATCCCTCTCAACCATTTCATCAAACACCTTACGCGCCTCTTCAATAAATCCACACTTACAGTAAAAATCAATAATGGCAGTCCCAACTCGAACATCTTCAATCAAGTTGGTATTTCGAATACTCAAGTGTATTCTCTTGCCAGTTTCAACGGCGTTTAGCTTCACACATGCCTTTAAAACCAAAGGCAAAGCGGCCCTATTGGGTGTTAAACCCAGAGATTCCATGTGGGAATATGTAGAGAGAATTGCATGGTCATTTTTTAAGTTGGTTTGGTTTTTGATTAATGAATTCCAATATTTTTCTGGGTCATCCTTGATATGGGTATTCTTGGGAGCAAAATGGAGGCTTAAGGGGAAAGGTATCAGCATTTCACTTGGCGGGAAAAGGATGCATAAGGGAGAGAAATGGTGACTGTTAAATTTGTTTTTCAGTTAGCCCAGGCCCATTGGGCCCATATTAGGCCTTGTCATGGAGCAAGTTCTTCAAAGCCCATTTCAAATTCTGGGCTTTTGTCTTGTTCGGGTTTCTGGACATTGGGTCTAGATCATCAAATTGCAATTTTTTTATTAATATATATATATATATATTATAATATAATACAAAAGGCAAAAGAAAAAAATCGAAGATCTAAATAAAATCTAAAATAATCATTATAAAAATTATATATAAAAAAAAGGAAACATGTATTGCATTTGTAAAACGGAGATCCCACTTTTTTCTTGTCCTTGGATCTTCTATTGAAGGGGATGAAAAAAAAAAAAAAGAAAAAAAAGAGAAGAAGAAGAAGAAATTAAGGGGTTAGGGTTTTGGATTTTACGGTCTTTTTGGGGTTTAATTTTTGGGTTTTTGAGTTTGTGAAGAAGAAAGGTGTGTGTGTGTGTGTGTGTGGTTTTTTTTTCTATTTACTTGCATCCTATGCATTTAATTTTTCAAGTAAATGCAAATCAACCAATTATGGGATTTTAAGGAATCTTGAAAATTTTTACGTGAGGAAAATTTTAAAATTTAACTAAAAGTGTTGAAGAATTTAGAAAATTTTTAATACAAATGACTTTCATTAACTTTTTAAATAAAAGTGGTAAATGTCTAATCTAAGAGATAATTTTAAGAAAAGGGAATAAAATAATGTAAAATATTTAGGATAATAAAAATAAAAATAAAATCATATAAAATAGGAATAAAAAGAAGAATTCAGAAAATAATAAACAGAAAAGAAAAAAACAAATAAAAGGCATTAAAAATCATAAACAAAATAGAAGAAAAGGAAAGGAGCAAAAGGAAGCAAGAAATTATTAAATATTAAACCAAAACCTTTTTCAAAAGATACTAAATTAGTACGATGACAAAGCCTTTTTAAGGAAAGAAGTAATTTTTTCAAATATTCTTGAAATGAGGATATTTTCCTTAATTTTCACCAAAAGTGTTTGAAAGATTTAGAAAAGTTTTCAATATTTAGAAAATAAGATAAGAAAAAAATCAAGGGAAAAAATTAATTAAGGATTATTCAAGACTAAAATGGATAACACAAAATTACTTGATATTGTATTCTTTGAACAAATATTGAATGGTGCATAACCGTACTTCCAAACTCTAATTTTGTTTTATAAATTTTAACTTATCATTTTTAATGAACTTAAGTCGTGTTTAAGATTTCATTAGTAATAATAAAAGTTAATTAGATGGCCAATCACATTTCAAAAAAAAAAATGGTGATAATTCCTTTAATCATTGGACGGTTGGATTCTCGAACTGCATGTTGCTACAACTTTAATTACATGAAAACACTAGTCAAGATATCTAACATATATAATTAGTGGTCAGTCACCATAATATTTGCGTTTCAAGAGAAGTATTAAATTTAAATCTCCATTAAATGGAAGATTTAAACCCCACAATAGGTTTATAGTATTACCGTATGCCCACTTTCATTATAATTAAGGTAGTGAATAAAGATATATATGAATTATCAAGGAGTTGCATAAAACCCTTTTCATTCCATTACTCACATCTTAATTACTGAATCTTCCATGTGTAGATGAGAGGGGGAAGATATCATTTTTTTCTAATTGGAGGGAAGGGAAGATATATCATTTTCTCACATATATAATTAGTACTTGGATTTCCATTTTCTTTTTGGTTTCAATGAACAATGAAAAGGATGCCCTTGAAATAACAGAAGCACTTCATCCTTTAACAAAGAGAAGAGGCATCGACATGCCCTTTCATTATATGTAGAGCTTTGCGGTTAGAGGGATTGATCCTATAACCAAGATTTTAGCGTAGCAGGTCTTCCCTATTATCAAACAATATTGACAAAAGCTTCTCACTCAAAGCCTCTGATTCCAGTTTGTAAGTTGTCTCCACCTGATGAAATCCAAGACAGAAGGATGTTAGATACAAATGCAATAGGTAACCAAAACCAACTAAGCAAAATAATGAAGAAAGCTACACATACCTGGAGATGAATATTATAGAAGACGTCCATTCCTCTAAATGACTCAAAACAAGTAGCATTTAGTAGGAGGAATAGACCATCTTGCTCCAAGTATTGCAAGATTTGAGATAATTGATTCTTCTGATCAACTTTATGCATGGATATCTGAATTGCAATTTCACTATCTGTTAACCTGTTAATGGATATAGCACTACTTAAAGATCTTCCAAGTCTGCTTTTTCTTTGCTGTTCTTCACGTTTAAGACCACCGCGCTGGGAAATCCTTAACAAGAGCTTTTCTTTCTTCTGAACCAATCTCTCAACTTGCTCTTGCAACTCTGCTATATATTTGAGTGCATGTGAAACCGTGGCTGGAAAGCTTAACTTCTTCTGCAGTAAAGGAAAACAAATGAATGAGTTTGCATATAATCAAACAGGGTTTTCGGAATAGTTTATATGCATATCACGAAACAAAAGGGAAGTGTGATGGAGAAATATATTATCAGTACCATTCGATCTGCCACTGGAAGCAATGAACGGAGGGATGAATACAAACTGTTGACCTTCTTACGCCGGTCGCGTTCGCTAGCATTGTGGTTAAGCTTCTTAACCGTGCTAGGGTCAGGACTGTTCTGAATAGTGAAAGACGGAGATCGATGATCAAGTAGAATTTCTTCTTGTGGTGGAGGAAAATGAAGAAATGACTCTACACTTTGACTGCCGCCGTAGATATAGTTCTGTTCATAGACTGTGGGATTGATTACGGGCCACTTTGGGATTGGAGCAGGTAATGCACACATATTGGAATGGTATAACTTAATGGAACTTTGTTACGAAAGTGAAATGACCATGACATATGTATATATACAAACTACCTCAAGACTTAATAATTTGTTTAATATGTAAGGGATTTTAAAAAAATTGATCTTCCAAGAGTACTTATTACAATAAGAAAATGAAAATGACATTAGTTTCATTTTAATTTATGTATATGTACACGAGTTTGCGCGTGTTTAAGATATGTATATGCGTGTTTATAAATTTTCATAATTAATTAATTTTTAGAGATACAAGACTGGAAAAAATACTTTTTATAAATGTTTTACAAATTAAGAATATTTAAAATGGTGGAGCACATGAAAGACATCCGGAAGATGCTAGTTTAGAAGCCAATTTAATTTTTCACTTGGAATATTAGAAAGATTCACTTGCTGGATTTCTAGTTCGGATTTTCTATGTTAGGGGAATGTGTGAGGACTTGTCCGTATAGAACCTGACAACAGAGTTTCCACAAATTTTTTTTTTTTCCTTTATGTTTCCTTCTACTTGTTGTTAAACAAGTGACGATGCAAGAAAGAGAAACGGAAAGAAGGAATAGAAAATAAGGGAAGGAGGTGCACGAGGCAAGAGTAGGGTCGCCACTCAAGGACATGCGCAACGACTCCCATGTCATGTGGAGAACAGGTTCCCCACTTGAGGCTCCCCCATGTTTGTGACAAGATTCTTGTTAAATTGGGAGATGACTTAATGTGGATGTTTATCAAAAGAATACGCCAAACTACTTGCCTTTGAGCATTGATTATTAGAATTAATTCGTTAAAACAAGTAATGGATTAAGTAAGCAAATGTAATGTTGATCATTTCTTTAAAACAATGATTACAAGTTAAGGAAGAAGAAAAAAAAGAAGGTTAAAGTAAGAAGATAAGAAATATAAAAAATGGTTAACATTATGCATATAGAAAAATAAAGTTGCATGGGAGTTGTTGGGACTTCTAGATGTCTTGAGACGCATTAGCTACTCAACTTAAGGTTTACTCAATAATAAGTATATATATAATGTTAATTTTGGGTAAATTTTTTGCCTAAGTTTACCTCCTAGCCCTCAAACTACATAAGTTCTACTGACTTAATTAATTTATCATTTCTTATTTAATTCAGGTGCAATGTTATATGAGAACTTGCAAAACATTCCAAGGTCTAATCATTTGACTACTCATAAAAAATAATTTCTTATATATAAACTTATTACTATCTGTAAGCAGTCGGACTATTTCTTGGACAAAATAGCATTATTCGTGTATGCTATAAAATCCTTTTATCCTTTTATAAATATAAAAGGGTTCATTAATTAAGACGAGGAATTAAGTTTTTAACAAAAAAAAAAAACTGTTACATTAAATCTTGATTGTAATACTTGATGATGTGAAAAATCGTTATTGATATTTGCTATGCGAGTCTTGCCCTGCAGGCACAGGCATATGAAAATTCATAAATAGATAATGAATTCTGGTAATGTACTTAATCAAATAAACATTGTCTAAGCTGCAAACTTGTAGCATATCAGACGAGATAAGATATTTGATTATAAGTGTTGGGATAGGTACGATAATGACTACTACTCTAGTATATTGGATGGACACTTTTCTTCTTGAATCAAGCCCCATCCGTTACCAAAATGGATTCTTCAATCTCAAATTGTAATATTCGAGACCAAATAATATTTGGGTCAAGAAGATGATATATTTTAAAGTGTGACAAATAGACCTTTATTTGGGTTAAGGTATCGATATATCTTAAAATTGAGATAAATAAGCTTTTATCCAGTTATTTATAAATATTTGGATGTAAGCCAGTTTCTTCTATTTGGGTTTATCAAAATATATATAAATAGCCCACTTAAACTTAGCAGTCATTTTTTATTTTAGCAAACAAAAGCTTTGAAATGAATTTCACAAGAATCTCTTTGTGTAACATTTGGGGATTTTTAAGATTAAGTTTGGAGAACAAAAATCAAAGGCTGTTACAGATTTATCATTAAAAGGTGAGTAAAAATCTCTTTCAAATTGAAAAAAAAAAGTTATTGAGTTAGAAGAATTTGGATTAAAGTTTATGGAAAAAAAAACCGGGAAGTGTTGTACAATACATGTGCTTTTGACTATCTGCATGATTTAGCATAAGTTAAGCCTTTAGATTTTGCTGTTATTCAATATTTAAGAGTTAAATATGATTAAATACAATTGGTTTAGAGGCCAGATGGGGAGGAATTGAATTTCATGAATTGAAAAGGGGAATCTGCTTGTAAACCAAGTTTTATGTACTATATCGTCACTTTAATTTTAATTATGTATTGATTTATAGAGTTTCACTATTTGAGTTAGTTATACATGACCGGAAAGATACATAAGCCTGTTTTCTAATGAACCAAATTAAAGTGGATTCTGAGTTTTTTTAAAGACTCTATAAACTGCCTAACAACAACATCAAGGGCAATTTTGAAAATTTTCTAAAATTTTCCTACAATGAATTAAGTGTCAAGTTTTAAGATATAGTTATTTTAGTGAATGATGTGCAAGCTATCTAGATTTTTTTATTTAGGAGAGTTTAGATTATTTTGTGTAGTTTTGGGAGATAAACAGATTTTAGAGAGTTTTATTATTTCTAATATGTTTAAATGATTGTTATTAGGTTTTTATTTTTTTGGGAGAAAGTGAGTTCTTAGAGTGAAGGTACGTATATATTTTCACGCATCTTACTTGTTTCAAACTATAATATATGTATATTTCTTGAAAAAATTAAAGTTTTATTTCTTTATTTTCAATATATGAAAATAGGATTACGCGTATGATTATTTTCTATTTTGATTTATTTATATGATGAAAGTTGATTTATGAATTTTTTTTATTTATTCATATGATAAATATTGATTTACAAATGTTTTAATTTATTCATAGGATGAAGAATGATTAATGAATGTTGTGATTTATTTATATGACGGATATTAATTTATGAATAGGATGAAATATTTGATCTTAAAGAATATTTTAAGAGCTACAAAATGATTCCTAAAAAGTGGGATAGTCGATGCTAGAAATAATTCTATGGCCCTGCTACTGTGTTATAGTAGTTAGCATACGGCCTTGCTAACAGGTTACAATGGGTTAGCGTAGTTAGTACACAACCCTATAAATAGGTTATAATAGTTAGCATATGATCCTACTAACAAATTATAATTGTTAGTAATAATTATGAGAATGATTTGCTAATATGATCCTTGTCATGGGTTATTGTAGTGACCTTAGCTGAAAATGATGAAACTTTACGATTTCTAAAAATTGAATTTATGTTTTCCTCAAACAATGTTTGAAGAATGATACTTGATGACTAATAATTTATAAATTTATGATATTATTCATTTTGAATTATGATGATTTTTTAACTGTTTGAAAGCATATTTTATTCAAATTACACATACAAAATATGAGTTTCAAAATAGCTTCCATCATTCTAAGGCTCTCATCTCTTGTCATCTATAAAAATATAAATAACGAATGAGCAAATCACAGTTTGGCCAAGTATAACCACACAAACCTTATTAGGATCAAGCATCATTTTTAATATATCATATATATCATCCACGAGCATATTAATAAATTATGCTTTCAAACAATTAAAAAATCATTATATACAGAATGAAGAATTTCATAAATTCATAAATCATTGATAATCAAATATCATTCTTAAATTATCATTTAAGCAAATCATAGATTCAATATTTCAAATTTATTAAATTTCATCATCTTTAGCTATGGTCACTAAATAACCTGTGACAAGGACCATATTAGCAAATCATTTTCACAATTATTACTAACTATTATATCTCATTAGTAAAACCATATGCTAACTATTATATCCCGTTAGTGAGGACAAAGAAATAGTTTTGTGGTTGATTATCCCACTTCCTAGAGATCATTCTATAGCTCTTAAAATATTTTTCAAAAATGATCAAAGATTTCATTTTATTTATAAATCGATATTCGTTATATAAATAAACCAAAACATTCATAAATCAATGTTCATCATATGAATAAGCCAAATCATTCATAAATTGACCTTCATCATATGAATAAACTAAAATAGACTTGACTTTATTTTCATATACTGAAAATAATGAAATAAAATTTTAGTTCTTTCAAGAAATATACATATATGATAATTTCAAAACAAATAAGGTGTGTAAAAATATTCTTACATTCTTTTGCTTTAAAAAACTCGTTTTTTTAAAAATATAATTAAAAGCCTAATAGCAATTATTTAAACATATTAGAAACAATCTGACTCTCTAAAATCTATTTATCACTCAAAAGTAAACAAAATAATCCAAACTCTTCGAAATAAAAAAATCTTTACAGCATGCACATCATTTCCTAAAATGACTATATCTTTAGCTACAAAATTCGAAGTCAAGATTCATTTAACGAGTTGAAAAATAGACTTAACAGGCTTTATATCCATATAAAATTCGATACTTAATTTACTATAGGAAAAGTGTATAAAATTTTTGAAATTGCCCTTGAAATTGTTGTTAGGAACTTTGCACCATATTTTAAAAAAAAATTATATCTTTATCTAAGAAACTCAAAATCCAATTTCGTTGGTTCATTAGAAAATAGAATCATATAATTTTTTAAAAATATAACTCAAATAGTAAAACTCTATAAATCAGTACAATATCAGAATTAAGGTGAAGGTACATACATGAAACTTGTTTCTTACAAACAGATTTTCCTTTTTAATTCATAAAAATTTGATTCACCCTCTAAACTAAGCATATAATCATGTTTAATTCTTCAATAATTGATAAGCAATAAAATCGAATGGCCCAATCTAAGATAGATCATGAAGACACGTGAAGATTACGAAATTTTTAGATTTTTTTCATCAACTTTAATTCAAATTCTTCTAAATCAATCAAATATTTTTTTTCAATTTAGAAAAGGGTTTGTACTTACCTTGTAACGATAAATCAAACAATAACCTTCGATTTTTATTCTCCAAACTTGATCTTAAAAATTCCGAATCTTAGCCAAAATTTTTTTTGTGAAATTCACTCCATAATCTTTGTTGTCTCAACCAAATGACAAATGGCTGCTAAATTTAAGTGAATTATATATACTAGCCTAGTTTATATTCTAATAAACCCTAACATAGTTAAATAACTTAGACCCAAATGCATATATAACTAACTTGATAAGCCGATTTGTCATACTTTGTATCATTTGGGCTGGGTATTACACAAATATGCAGTTTTATCAGCGTTCAAATTGTTCCTTCCCATTCTAATTAGTCTTCTTTTCTCTAATCAACCAACTCCACTAATTATAACCATCAATGCTGCTAACAACCTGCCTCTCATACTCTCTCCTCTGAACTTTCCTTCTTGTAGAGTCCAATTCAAGTCTGTATTGGTTCGATAAAACCTGCGAACTCATCCATGCCATCCTGCCATGATTCCCCAAGAATGCTCCAACCCTCCAATCATGGTTACCAATCCTGCATATGATCACTGGATATGCTAGGATCAACTCTTACTAAATGGAGTAATTTCCTCTGCTGCAGAAGGTGTTTGTGCCATTCATTGCTTTGGCCACCTTTTCTCAACAATATATATGCCAACAAGTCTGGATCTAGTATGATAAATTTCAGAAAAACTGACCAATCCAAAGGGGCACTAGAATTGTCTCGGAATATTTTCAGCATAGCTAATTAATTGGCCCTGGCCCTGGTTGAGTAACCTGTGACTGCCACTAATAGGCCTTTAATTGTTGTGATTTATGAATTTATAGCTAGCAATAAGATTATTTTTTTTATTAATAACATTAAGCTTTACAAGCTTTGATCGATATCCCAAAAAATGAAAATGTCATTACCGGAAACATCAAAGTTGAGAATTAAACCAACATTATCAATAAACCAAAAAACGAATAATACTTCCCTTACCACCAAGCTTAAAGCAATAAGAATGTTACAAAAAGAAAACAAATTTTTTATATTTTAAAGTATATGTTCGCAAGCAAACCAATGAAATATATATATATATATATATATATATAATAAATTCTCAATGACTTGAGAGAAAGTCAAGTTAATAGTATCGTAATCATATCATTAATTATTGTAATTTAATCCATAATCTATTCACTTGTTCTAAATATGTTCACGAAGATTAATACCCTTGGTGAAAGATAATATGTACTCCATACTGGACAATTGTTTGAAGCCCAAGAATTTTATCAAATCAAACTTTTGTACAAACTGGGCCCCAAGGCAATGCAGGCTCTAATTCCACCCTCATCCCATGGCCCTGCCCAAAAAAATCAGGCAGAGCCCAGAGGGAAGTCAGACCAAATGGTATATCTGACTGAGATTTGCAGTTTGAGAAAACTTTGATTTTATTACGTACGTGCCAATATGTGACACCTAAAGATAAAAGGTCCAAGCCATGCATCTTCAGCTTTATTTGCTGTACATACTCCAATGCTTCTCAGCATCAGACCAAGGAAGTTTATCCTTTAACTTTCTTCTTTACATTTATAAAGCAAGTTTAATGAGCTCCTTCAAATTTCTGTGCAAATAAATATAGGAAGCAAGTTTGAAGGAACCAAAGCTAATAGCATGATAGAAAGCAGTAAAAATGCTTTGGGTGCTAAAATTGTTTCCATGAGAAGAAAATTATGGAAACAAGAATGCAGCTTCAGAGGAAGATTTGCAAAGCTGATACTTGTCAAAACCAAAAAAATAAGCGAGCTACATTCAGCCCCTGAGAAACTTCCAAGGCCCTGTTCCCGTCCCTATCCTGCAAACACAGCAGCAAATTTGTTTTTGATGTTTAATCAATAAGGCTGTCCTTTCTTCATTTATTGAATATTTTGGGATAAAAAAGCTGTGCCCTGTTGTGGCTTAACCTATCCTAGGGCGCAACAAAAGCAAATTGAAAAAAAGAGAATGACATTGTAAAATCATGCTAAATAAAAATGCAAATTACCTCCAAAATCCGGCTAATGCTCGAAGACTCATATATATGGTCAGAGCTATCCAGAGACCAATAAATCCATGACTGGAGGAGAGAATAGACAAACATATGATGCTGACAATAGCCACAAGAACCTGGAAAAGGAAGAATGTCATATTAGTTTCTTTTGCTAAGAGAATAATTGGAATGATTATGAACCTTCATGCTTCTCTGATTAACCAAACACATAAGAGGAATCAGGAGGTAGGATCAACACTCTTAATTGATGGGTAACTTTCTTTACCACTCCAAACTCTTGGTGGATGAGCAGGGATATAACAGTTTCACAACACAAATTCAAGTATTACATAGAAGGATAACAAATATTCAAGTCCTATGAGCACTTTCCACTTCCCCCTCTCCTATGGCTACAGAGTGAGTCCACTCCCTAAGTCTCTCCTCTTCGTTTTATAGTATTTTCAGAAACACTTTCCTTGCAGTGGAAATTAGAAAATTTTAGCCCCAAAAGAAACAGATAATTATGCTAATACCTACTCTCCAGTCTAAACAGTGAGTGCATAATGAATTCCAAAGACAGTAAGAGTCCTAAAACAAATCTTCATAGTATCAAAGTTGATAATAGACTTGCCAAGGAGAAGGCAGAATATGCAAAGTCAGATGCTCCAAAGTTGACACCATCAAATACAAATGCTAAAGAATTGATGGGCTGAGTAGCTGCAACAAACTGAAAAAGAGGAAAAGAATATTAGTTCTGGATTTGTGGTGATCTTTGGGGTTAGAACAGGTTGAAAGTTATTATAGTCTTTCTTTCAATGCTGGCAAGAGTAGTTACCGGAATGCCTGTACCAATGAGGTGTAGGACATTGACATCTTTCGTAAATAATTTTGCTCCAAAACTCAATCCCCCTCCAAGTATGACAGTAAGTATCAAACCCAGAACCAATCCTAACTGCAGTACATATACATTGACCTTTAGAGGAAATCATGTTAGTGAAAGGTAAATTGATGTTTATGTCATATGATACGGCACCTGCAATACTCGAGAAGCAGTGGCTGTTGCCTTTTCATGGTCCCCTTTTGCAAATGCACTTGCAAGAATGGCCTGAAAGAATTGAAAACAATTAAATTACTATGAGAACGAGTCTATGCAGAGAAAAGTAATCTGAAACAAAAGAAGAGTAGCAAGAAAACAATGTAAGTTACAAGTATAATGTATAAAATTCAGTGGGCCAGGTAAAAACAAATTTTTCTCGTCAGTAATTAGATGAGAGAAACTACAGCTACTAAAGGTATGAGCAGGATATTTGTAATGTCTAATATCTATGTATTACTTGTTTGCAACCTTTTATGAGTTGTTACTTGTTTCTGAATTTAAGGGTAAACTTAATTCCCAATAACAGATGCTGAGAAATGATAACAGGAGCAGAAAATCTACAGATGTTGGCAAGAGAGAAGATTTGACAATCCTAAAAGATAAAACTATTTCACAAACCTTGAACTCCAGTTATGTTGCTTCAGAAGATTAATGACAAGAATTTTCTATGGCGCAACCCACCATCAGAATGTTTCTTCTACTTCATCTTTTTCTTTTCTTTTTTGTAAACTGCTAAATATTGAAGGTAAATTTTCTCTGCTTTTCATTTTTATAGTCTTTAGTATTGAAGCAAAGAGAATTTCATTACATCTTGTCAGAGAAGATACTGCTTTTTTTTAATGTATTGATAGTAACTAAAGAAAAGCATCTCTAACCTGTCCAGCAACAGCCAATCCATCAGCAAGAAGAGAGGTTGCCAACCAAACCTGCAAGCATACTTGAAACGCAGCCATGGATGTTGATCCCAGTCTGGCAGCCATTGATGCAGACAGGGTGATACAGAATGTAACAGCCATAACCCTTATTAACAATAGAAAACCTGGATTCAAGTACATGAAACAAGGGGGGAATATTAATTGATCAAATAAAAGAGGCTGATACAGATTAAATGCTCTTAGACAAGTGTTAAAACTTGTTGCACCAACTACCTATGCATATCTGATATAACTAATGAACATAAATTACTCCTTTTTACCAAACTCCCTGACCATGGTCACAATGGTAAAATGTCAGTATACAAGACAATCTAAAATAAACATTGATTCAGTCTGATACTTCAACAATTAACACACATAGACACAGAGAGGGACAGAGAAAGGGAGAGAGATAAATTGTAATGAATAAGCCCTAAAGATTCCAAATTGAAAGTAACGTTCATATTTGAGAATTTGTAGAAGTCAAATTAAAAATTACCATTCTTAAGAAATCTACTGAACTGTAGATGTTTTAAACTAGGAGGTAAGAGGTCAACTTGACTCATTAACTTCCACAAGAGTATAACTGAAATGAGGTACCTGCAAGCCCCAAAGAAATTAAAAGACAAAATTAGCAAGTGAATACAATAATGTTAATGCATTCTATACCTATTGATGGACAGTGACTGCTGATTGGATATAACTTACTGAGATATCACATGAGCAATGGCTGCACCGCTGACACCCAGATGGAAAACAAACATAAATATTGGGTCCAAAATAATGTTTGTTACATCTCCTGCCACTGAGTTTAGATCAGAGGGATAAGAACAATTTAAAATAGTAGATAGACAAGAAACGAGCAGAAATATTTCTTGATGTGTTAAAAAAGATCAAAACCATATCCCAAACTACTATGAATAGGATATACCAGTGGCATATAAAGGAGTTTTTGTATCTTTAAATCCTCGAAAGACCCCTTGCATGGCTAACGAGAGAAGAACTGCAGGAGCACCTAGTGACCTTAATGTCAAGTACTGTTGTGCAGGGTTTAGCATGGGTGAATCCTACAGGAATGGCCAAATCTACTGTCACTACTATTGCAGAGTATATTAAGGCATTGAACACAAAACTAAACTAATGAAAACAACAAAGAGAAAAGAAAGAAATTGAGGTTCAAGAGCCTGTTTTTGTTCTCTTAATCTGAATACTTACTGAACTGACTCCCATGAAGTTCAATAGAGGCTTTGCTCCAGATATAAGGAATATGGCCTGTAGGAGACCAAGGATACCACCAATAACCAATGCTGATGAAGCTGATGGGATATGCCTTCTTTCAGGCTCAAATTTAGCAATATCAAACCTGTCTCCTAGTGTTTTTGGCTGGTGTGCACCATCGCTAGATTCTGAAGATCAGAATAAGAGAAATAACATTCTCATGTTAAACTGTGTAAGGTGGATTTTTGGCATGAACTAATTTAAGGTAAGAGGTTTTGTGAATGTACCTGTTTGTGGTATTAACTCTTTACTTTCATTGTTTGCACATGAACCTGCTTCTAAGTATTCACTTTCTTGTGCGTCAGAGCTCACTCTTCCAATAGTATCTTCCTCAGCTACGAAAGAGGTTGTGACACTGACAAGTGGGAATATTGCAATTCTAGATACTTGATTGAACAAGGCAATAGAAACTCCTACAGCAGCAAGTTCCACTGGACCTATACGTATCAAGTAAAACTAGGTAAATCTTCCCATGCAAAAACTTTATCTGGAAGACAAGAAGCTGACTGTAATATAAGGGCAGTCCGTTTCAAGACTGTGGTTAGGGAACATACTCTCTGTCAATCCCCTACATCCCTTGTCAAGCCATTAAAAAGGAAAAACTGGTGCACTGAATATAAAACTCAATTTAAAAAATGAAGGCTCAGAAAAAAAGAACCACCCCCTTTCGCTTCCCCCAACTCTCACATGCTCAGACATAAAGAGCAAAGAACAATACCTATTTGGCCAATGAATGCTGTGTCAACAAGAGAAGCAATAGGGTCAGCTGTTAAAGCCAGTGCTGCAGGCAATGCAATTTGTGCTATCTCTGATCCAAGGTCATCCAGTTTAAAAACATTTCTGCTCATATAATTGCAAAATCAGACATTTTATCCTAGATATATCTCTTAATCAAAAATTTATATAAAGAATAATAAATTTTTGAGTCTTCAAAACCATTATTGATCATCGAAGCAGAGGAAAGGACTTTGTTATTATTTAAGATTTGGTACTCAAAACAACATTTCTTTCTTTTATTGAATGTTTTTATATAATTGTTGTTTTACTATTTGTTAAAATACTTGTTTATATATATTTCATCAATAAAATAAAAAGTGGAATAGAGAAACCACAAGGAAGTATGGACTAACTAATGAATGCAGCAGTGTCTCTTAAATGATTTTCGCATGTACCAATGAAAACTTGGCTTAGCCAGTCTAATTAAAAAACTTGCAAAATGGTTTGAACTTCAACCGTCTGTTTGTTCATCTAATAGTGCAAATGCAATAATAAAGATGAAGCTTCCAATCCTGGAAAAAGCTAATCAAACTACTGAACTGCCTATCTTACCAGCTAAACAAATACAAGCAAAGCAAAATCTGGGAATTCATACCTGACATCCTTGAAGAAAATGAAAATAGGAAGTCTCATCTTGACCCTAGATAGATATGGATCATCTTCTTCAGCCATCGTTTTGGAAGGGTAAGTCACAGAGAATTAAGCCAATGGTCTCACCAACCGAGCCCTGTATCCGCCTGATTTTTACCACCTAATATATGATAAACTACTATTGAGCTCCAGGGGGAGAAAAATGAAGTTGGAATGATTTTAACCATTGTCAGTAACCTATAGAATCTACAATTTTCCATAAGAGAATGAATGAACTGATAATAGTAATAGAACGGATTACCTGGAACTATGAAAGTGTTTTTACTCTAGAATTTTCTATCAGGTTTCAGTTATCTATGTCAACAAGGCAATACCAGTTGAACAAAAGTTCCTGCAAATTTGACAACAGAAAAAGCAGTACATGTGTCTTTTTACTTGTAAGCTCCAAGAAGTTTCCCCTGCTTCCAACCCCAGGGCTTGTTTGAAAACTCAACACCAAATAATCAGAACAAGACTTCAGTCTTACCAGTCCCGATGGAAACGCAAGATCTCTAGCTTCCCAATTCCCAGGATGTTGACAGATTTAATTAGGAGACACTTAAGACTCTTCAACTTTGAATTCTCGACACCCACAAGAACCACAACTCCCACCTTCTTTGTTTTTTAATGGCAACCACAACTCCCACCTAATTTTAAGTCCAGCAGAAAAATGAATGTACTCTCAATTTCTCAAAAATCTTATCAATAAATTTTCAACTTGCAAAAACATATTCATTTCAAGTGTCAAAATAAATTTGGAGTTGAATAAGTAATACTACTGCATTTCATCTTTTGAAAACTCAAGACACCCCATCAAAACAAAACAAAACAAAGCAGAACTCTTGATCAACACACCACCTACCTAAATTCAACTCTTGAAGAAAAATCTAACTGCCCACACTGTCACTTGCCTAGTCCTTAAACAAGAATAAGGACATACCACTTTACCAACCAATTTTGCTGGTTTGCCAGCGAGAGATGCTAGTCTGTGGTGCAGTCTATATATCTGGCCAGAAGTGTGAGACAAGTCTAATAAGTAGGCCCACAGTCCCAGAAAAGGCTTGACTCTGAACGGAGCTGCCTACAAAGTTGGATTACAAGTGTCAGGATCAGATTCAAGAAAAAGCACCCATTTGCATTACAATCCTCAACAGTGTCACTGCATGCATGTGAAAGTTTGCCAGGTGTCCCCTCCGTTCCATGCAGAAACTCCAAATTTTAGTCCAAAATGAAAAACATTATTGAAGCCAGTCAGCAGAAACTTGAGAAGCTGATTCTGTTTTTCTTCAGCCTGTTGTTTGTTTCTGATTTTCTTTACCGAAATATATTTGCAATGGGGAGTGAGGAATCCTAAGTATCTATACGAGAATAAATGTTGGGTCAAAGAGGCACTAGAAAGCAACTGCCATAATAAAAGGATTAAAAAATTATTTATTTATGGATGAAAAATCATCGAGCTATAAAAGAGACGGTTCACATAAATTGGAAACTACGTGGAGAATTCTCCTACTTACCTCTTACACGTTGCTTTTGCCTCGTTCATGGAAATTGAACAACATATAAAGCCCTCCCCGGCTCCCCCCTCCCCTCAAAAAGAGGTGGAAGAAAGGGGAATCTCTCTCCCATCATTATGGTGGGCGTGCTGAGTCCGTCCATTGGGGGAACAACACAGCTCCACGAGTTCTTCAGCTCTAGCTTCAAACAACATTAATTGCACTTCAAATTATCTTCGTTCCATTGAAGAACAAAATTAAATGTATTTTTTCCAGAAATTAATAAGGATATCGTACCCATTACGACAAGAGATTTCATCTTCTGATTCCAATTTTGAAATGAATGAAATTAAATGTAATTTATAGACGACAAAAGAGAGTGCTCCTTAATTTTTCATTATAAAATTTAATTTACATCTAACTTTCCTTTATTTTCTTCTTCTTCTAATCACAATTCAGCTTTTTTTTTTTCAGGGTTTTTTAAGTTTTTATATTCTATTTTTGAAAGAAAATTATATTAGTTAGATTTTAATTTATATTCCAATTTTTATTCTCATTTTAACTATAATTAAGTATATATTGTATTTATCCCAGCACCCCACCTCTTCCCTCCATATGTTAAAAAAGTGTTATACATATGAACATCTTTAAAAAAGTAAACGCTTACCAATTATTCATGATTTGGCAAAGCAGCTTTTTCTTTGAAAATCCCACTTATTAAAAGCCTATAAATTAATTTGAAATCTTTAATTTGTTGTTTGTAGTTGGCAAGGAAATTCCCTTGAACTACCATTGGACCATGCCGTGTTGGTGATTCAATCATGATTGACCCCAGACGCTAATAGTTTCTTTTGTATTTGACGGTCAAACTAATATTTGTTTTAGACCGATTGAGCGCCATGGAGTCTCACTTGCCATAAGCAAAAGAAAAAGAAATTGTACAACGACATAGCTTAACTCTTTAAACAATTATCATTTAATCCTTGATCATTATCTTCACCAATTGCTCAATAAGTTGACAGTGCATGTGCGTCACAGATTCCTTTTTAACCTTTAAAAGAATCCTGTTGAGTTCCACTAGCCAAGTTGGGCACAAGCTCTTGCTTTGATTTGATTTCAGAGTTAGAAGTGATGTAAATCATGGTCCATGTAGGATTCCAAAAACTTGGATTTTTTGGCTCCCCATTTATTTATTTCACTCGTTGGCCCCCACCTTTTTATTTCACTTATTGCCTCTCCATGTGGTTAGTAGAGCTTGTAAAGTCCATCTGAATTCAAAACCTTAGTTGAAAATTGAACTTGACACTATCAGATTTGATGAAAAAAAAAAATCAACAATTCGAATACATTCAACTTCAATCTAAAAGCGATTTGAGCTCGAAATTATTTAATTTTGAATGGGCTTAAATCCAAAATGACTCGAACACGAACAATTAAAAAAATTAATCTGAAATGATTCCAATTCGAATAATTTATTTAAATCTAATTCATTTGATTTCAGAAAGATTAATAACTTAAATTCAAAATTATCTGAACTCGAATAATCTAAATATTAACCTTAAATGATCCAAATCTCAAATGACATGATCTCGAAAATAAGAGTGATTAGGTTAAAATCAACTTAACTAAATTAATTCATGAAATTTGATTAATTAATTTGATTAAATCCGTTAACGAGGTGAATTATGTCGAGGCGTTTGGTTAAAAATTTTTGAAAATAGTTAACCAAATTAACCGACTTTGTATTTAATATTGTTTAAAGAGTACTTTTACATGTCTGTCACTCACACAGTTTTTCCATCCTCACATATATATTAAGAGTTCATATTGCACCATCAACCAACATAAAATAAAATACAAATAGCACATAATCTCATTAGTATTTTTTTTATTTTAAATTTCATTTATTTATTTTTATGTATATAAATATATAATCCATGTCAATATTCAACTTCCCAATCCAATAAAAAGAATCAAGTTATATAATAATCTTTATTTAAATATTAATATCATTGATATATCATATAAATCACCTATACAAAAACATAATATAAAACTATATTAAAATTTCTTTATTTACAAAATATGTGATTATCAATTTCATCTCACTCATTTATTCAAAAATGTTAAAAAATGTGAGAGTTTTTTATCAATCAATTTTTTTTATTCGAACAAATTACTTATAAAAATTATCCTAATAATTTGATTAATATAATTTCCATCTCCAAAAAATTAAAATTAGGTTAAAAATGAAAATTATATGTGTGTGTGTATGTGTATATATATGTATATGTAAATGACCAAACTTGTGACCATTACCGATGCTTAAGTCTCTCTAGCAAGTTTGCCCAGTCTCGAGCTAACCTTAATTTATAACTTTTCTTATCAATTACCAAATATCCAGTTGTTAGATTTAAAATTTTAAACTTGTTCACTTAAATGAATACATTTTATAATAACAAGTATTGTAGTTCTCTTCTTTAAGTGTTGCAAATCTATCATAACTGTTAACATCATAATACATGAATAATTCCAAACATAGGATAAACTCAATTAATTTTAACCATATTTAAGTAATGGTCACACTTAAATTAAAACAAAAGTACCTCAAAACATCTTTCTCCATACATCCTATCAAAAATATAAACTTAGTATTTAGATTACATTCCTTGTAATTTCATTAGACGTAACTAATCGGAACACATCTTCAACATATAAACCTCTAGTAGCAGAGTGACACAGGGGAAGGTACTATGAAATTTCATTACTTATTTCAAGGTGAAAGGGAAAATTTATCAGAGAATGCACTAATTTGATCACTTATCTGCAAAATAAAATAATAGGGTGAGTTTCACAGACTAAGTGATCATTGGCTCAATAAGCAAATGAGGATGGAAAATAAGCATAAAGGTGGAACATTTGAATAATAAAATCTGAATATGATGAATTAAAAGTAAACAATAAGCTTAAGGTAAACACCTTGCAAGTATGAAATGTAAATCCGTAAGTAATATAGTGTCAAAACACAATGCTTTCAAGACAATATAAATAAAAAATAGATTCATCAAGAAATCAATAAATTTTCAATAATAGTAATGAACCAAAATTCATAACCATATACCTTCGTTTAGTTTAGCATGGCATGTACAAAATGATATTAATGTACCATTTTAATAATATGCTCATATCATAAAGTTTATGAGAGACCCTTTGCCATAAGGAAAACGGATTCAAAACCATTGCCATGCTATAAATCAAAATTTCAACAAGTAAAATATATCACTCTCAAGTAGGTTAATAAGCCCATGGGCCTTCTCCCACATAACTAAGATTTCGAGGGCCTTTCCCATTACTTCCTAATGCTCGTGGTATTCCACATATCAATATGGCCATTTAAGTAAGCAATGTGCTAACAACCCATGGTCTTTGCCACGTATATAAATATAATCCCATGGTCTTGCTAGTCTTCCTAAAAATAAACCTCTAGCTAAAGCTCACTTTGTGCACAAAGGTCACACAAGATTTGGTGTGACAACAAGACCTACTTTCAAGTATCTCAACTTAATAAAACCATAACTTATCAATGTATTTGCAACACTCAAGAAAATCATAGTATAAAACCATCAATGAGACAATCATTTCTACACAATTTCAATTCTTCATATGGTACAACATTTAAAATAGCATACGTAGTGAAATGTACATTAAGTTGAAAACAATGCATTGTATAATCTTATCTTGATTAATTCTCCTAATTATATCAATCACGAAATCCTTGCAAGGCATATTTAGAAGTAAAGCAGTTCAAGGGCTTGTTTTTGGATTTTCAAAACATATAGTTCATATATTTATACATAATATATACCCAAAAGAAATTTGAAAACTATATCACAATCACAACATCATAAAAGTTTTCTACCAGCTCATGCTTTCCACAATGGCATTCCAACAAACTACATACATAAGTAATATAGTATAAGGAAATAAATTTTAAAATAAGTTCACCCACTCACCTTCTTGGTGGGATTTTCCTCACCAATTACTCAATTATTTTTCCCTACGGTAGCTTTTCACTTAACTTCTCACTATAGTCACCTTAGTGAATTTTCTTCTAGCAAACATTAATCATACATATAGCATCAACACCAATCTGTTCAATGGAGAACTAATCATTCAATTTACTTTCTAAATAAGCATTCACCTCTAACATATCAAATACCATTTAACTCACTTGTGAAGCCTAATATGAAGTTTCAAGAGTACTCTAAATGCCTCAAATTTAAGCAAGTCTTGTCTGTGCTCTACTTTTCCTTTTAGCTTCAATTGCATTCACTCAAAATAGTCTCTAGTAGTCCATCGTACACACTTATTCAATATAGTTATAAAACTATTTAATTAATGCATTTAACTAGCAAAGGTTAATAACTCTAGGGTT